TGTACAGTTATAATATAATCTAAACAGGGCAGTGGCCGTGTTGCTGACTTTTTCAAACGTTGGTTATTATATACAAAAGATTTCGATGAAGCGAGCAAAGATTCTGAATTTCCAATTGGAATTGATGAAATTGTTACCGTAACTTCAGAACCACACACTACACCAACAACTGATGATACAAATAGTTCAAAAAAAGAGTAAAAATTCTATATTAAATTAGTTGTTTTTGTATTTTACTTGTGTAATCTTTTTAGTACTTATACACTTCTTAAAGTTCACCTTAATTCATCTTGCAAAACGTAAAGAAACCAACGTTTATTTCATTTTCTATAATTGTTTGTATAATTTTTTTAAAGGCTTGTAGAATTATTTCAACCATATAAAGAACGACTCGAAAAAGATCTTGATCTTCTTATATCACATGACGATGATCTTAGTAAAGGAAAGAAGTCAAATGATATATCAAATAATACTTCAAAAGTTGAAAAATCAAATAAATTAGATGAAACGCTTCGACAAGTTATGTATTGTCTTCAGCCTGCTGTTCGTTCTGGTATAGCTGTATTTAACTTAAATTCAGATGATAATTTATCTGAAACTATTTTTCGTACTGTTTGCAAATGTAAGTTAATTATACGATACAAGATTTTCTTTTTATTAATTTGATTTGTTTAGCACGTCAAAAATACTTTGAAAGAAAAGAAAGTGATCAAAATTATATGAGCGTAAGGCATGAAACAAACTCTAAACCACCACTAACTACAGATGTTAAACGACATCATGCAAATTCACGACAACATGTTAATCGAAGAGATCAAAATGCACAAAGATCGCAATTGTTACAGTTAGCAATGGATTGGAATTGTATTGATGTTGCAAAAGAGTTAATTCTTCAAAATTCATTAGATAATATTCTAGTAAGAGTGATTGATTATTAACACGTTGACTGTCCCATGAGAAAAAAAGTAATACTTGTTGTACGCCCTTTTTTGATTATTCTTAATATCATGATATATCATTGATATTTTTCTGATTCGTCCTATATTTGAAGAATGGTCGATTAGTAACGTCTGACAAATTCTAGCTTAAGATATCCTATACTACAAGCAAGTCGTACGTGATGCGAAAACTTTTTACTCAAAAGTATCGTGCATCACATATGATGCACCGGACAGTCAACGTGTTAAAGGATAGATAGATAAAATCATTTAATAGTGACATAACTTCGTAAAATTTAAACATACATATATTAAGATGGTAAAATATTTCTAGAAGTAATCCTTCTATGTTATATGTATGCGAAATTACTCTGGATACTGTAGAAAAAATGGCGGCAGTCATATGAATTTAAGAAAAACCTTGATTTTTACTTCACGTTGTTTAGTTTAAAACAACAAGGAAAGTGCGCAATCACGAGTTCCAGGGATTTTCATAGTTCACCGGAAGTGTCCGACATTCGTCCGAAATCTATAAAGACGGTTTCATATCTCTTAAACCTACTCGAGAGTTTCAATGAACTTCTGACACTATCTTGAGGGTGTGGGTGTGGATGCGGATCTTCTTCAGTCTCCACTATCACGCCTGCATATATCTGTTTATTTCTCTTTTATATATTCAATGCGTACCTTTGTGATATATATATATATTTAAGTGACAAACTTTTTTTAATGACTTGATGTTCTGTATCTTTTTCAGTTCACTGCTGTTTACATACATGACTTTATGTTTAAGTAGGAGCGACCTTCCCATCAATCCTTCTTCACTTACTGCAATTTTTTCTAAATGTGTTTACTTATTCTTTATTTGTTTCCTTTTTGATATTTATGAATTAAACTCTGTATGTCGCATGTTTACTGATTTTAACATAAATAATATTGTTAGGAATTAATTTGCAACTTCAGGATATCTAAAAAAGAATTCTCAATAATAAAATTACAAAAGATATTATCAGAATTTTTTATTAGCTGTTCACATGTTTTAACAGGCTTTCTAACAATAGCAATATGTATATAAAGGCGTCTAGGCTGAAGTTTTTAAGATTCTCCAACATTGCCTAGGGTTCTCCAGTATTCTTGAAATTCTATGGGATTCTGTCCTTTTCTCTTTGATATTAATTGAACTAAGCGCGTTAAAAACGAGTTTTTTTACCGATTTTGTCTGACTGGGTAGTAGTATTACTTATAGGTTATCGAAGGCAAGACTACATTTTAAAGATTTAACTAGTACAAATACAGATATTAGATGGAACGACAGATTGATCAATTCGATTCTATATGATTTATTCCAACAAGTATCATTTTTAGACTAAATATTTTCTTTGAAAGATGAGTAAAATAAATATTAGAACAGTTTTTTCTCACATTAACGTTAGCTTAAAAATATTCTAGATTAAGAGCTCAGCACAAATCATATGACAAGAAAATCTTTTTCGAATCTAATACATAGGATTAAAGAAAAACTTGTGTTGATATATTGCATCTGGTATGGTTTGATTGAATTTGATCACTTAAGAACTGCTTTGTTAGTAAGAATATATAAAATTGAGTTTTTTCAGCAATATCGAAGTTGATCGTAGATTCTCTTCTGTTCGATTCATTACATGAACACATTCTATGTTTCTATGAACTTGATAGTATAAAAGTTACATAGTTGTTTGATAAAGTAGGATTAACGATATTTTGACTTATAAATATATGCTTCTGTTATTAGAAAAAATTTAAAAAAATATAGCAAATTCAAACGATGATTAATATTATCTTAGTACTCAGATAGCTAAATTTTACGCACAAGAGTTTTTGTATACGTGTTTTCAATCATTTTCTCTATTACATGTTCCTAACTTTTCTCGTGTTTGGCTAATATTGTATCGATGTTGTTCTTTCTTTTGTTTAGAACCAAAAAGAAGCTTTTTTGAATGCATTAACACGAGATTTACCAGAATTTGTTTATGAATTTATCAAATTGGGCATTGATCCAAGTAAAATATTCTTTGAAAATAATATATTCTTTGACGATGATACACCTCTTCGCCCCATTTATCGATATAGAAAATTTCTTCAACGTTTGTACAGTAATGACGCTGTGGTAATATATATTTACAAATTAAAAAAGATATTTCTAACTTTCATGTATATATATATGTGTTATATATTTATAGAATAGTCATAAAACTCAATTAAGAGACTTTATTGAAACTGATAATGTTGTTAGAAAACATATTTGTACAACCGATGAGCTAAATAATGTTCTTACTACATTGATTGGTGATTATATGCATAAATTATACTTTAATTCAAATGCCGACGAGATTAAATATCGAGCATCATGGGGTTTAATAGAACAAAATGTAGAGCAAAACCAAATTAATGCTCAAAATCCTGACCACCACGTTAAACCAAATAAAGAAATAGTTTTTGATATTATTATGCGAGATTTATTTATATGGGCAATACTTATGAATCATACCGAAATGGCTCAAGTCTTTTTAAGTCATATGAAATATCGAATATGTGCTGCATTGATTGCAACAAAAATATTAAAACAATATCATCATAAAACTCGATATGGTGATTTAAGAGATAACTATGAGAAAAATGCAAAATATTTTGAAGAATATGCTATTGCATGTATAAAACAATGCGAAAAAAATGACACTGATCTAGCATGTGAAATTGTTCTACAAAGAATAGAACTATATGGAAATGTTACTTGTCTTCAAGTACGTTAAATTTTTTGTTTTTTTTTAAAAAAAGCTGATTTTTCTTGAAATTTATATATATTCAGATTGCTGCTGATGCAAAAGATAAACTATTTATTGCAACACCATGTTGTGTTCAAGCTATGAATAATATGTGGTATAATAATATTCATCCGGAACAATCGAAGAAACGAAATAAATTAGCTATGGCTATTGGAGTTTTTTCATTTGGCCTTCTGGCACCATTGTGGGTCACTTTTCGAGATCCTCCACCGGTTAGAATTTATTATTATTTCCGTCTTTACAATAATAGATAGGCATAAAATGAAACTTTAGTTACAACTTCAGTATATAGCAGATGATGTTTTATAAGGATTGACTGAAAGTATAATTATCGAAAGACATAAATATTAAAAATGACGATCTATAGTAGATTAAACCCATTTCATTTATCTTTTTTTAGTTATTCGGAATTTCTAATTAACATATCTCACTATTAACATGACATTGTTTTTATTGAGATGAGAAGTACAACTAGAAATCATTCTCCACAATTATAGCTTTCTTCTAAAATAGATTGATGTCTGATGTAGTAACTGAACTGAAATGATATGGAACAGTCTCTAGTCTCTTCTGTTATTTTACAGATTGAAATATTTGAAAACTACGCTGTTTTTACATAAGTACTCATAGCAGATATTTATTTTAACATTGACACAATAGTTCATTCATGCATATTAGCACAAAGATATGAATTAAACAATTTCATATCACATATCCAGTAACAAAATGTCACTCTTTAGTTAATGAGTGTGTGTGTGAAAGATTTCACATTAGAGAAAAAGAATCTAAGAAAGTATTTACGAAAAAGTCTTGCACGAATAAAAAGGAAATCTAGTAGCCCTGAGCAAAATCAAAAATTTATCATCGACTATCATCGGTGATATTAACACGATTATTCAACAAAAACGCAAGCTTCTACTCTCGACAGATATTAATCATATTTTTAATTTAGAGTCTAAGAAACATATCCGAATAGAAAATATTATCACTATCTATTAATTCACAAGATTTTGTTTCCATTTTAAATAGATAGCAACCGACGAAAAACCTGAAAAATCGTACGTATTCCTAACTGCAAATTCAATATAAAAATAGTATATTATATTTAGTTTACAATCTTATGGCATACATTATTCCGATCCATATGCAACTCCATTTCATCGATATACTAAATATTTTTCAATAAATAATTATATGCATCGTATAAAAAATTTTCATCGAGCGTTATGCATGAAATATTGCTATCATTGGGTATGTATATATATATTATCATCTCAAATGAAATCTATATCATTTCTTTTTAGTTGAGTTATTGTTTTTTCCTGTTACTTTTCTCTTATGTACTTTTATTTAACTTTCAACCACCAGCTGCTTCAGTACCATCTATCCATTGGACTGAAATTTTAACAATTATGCTTGTTTCTATTATGTTAATTGAAGAAATTCACTATGTAAGAAAAGCAAATCTATATAAATAAACAATTACAATTTTCTTTGATTATTATTATAGTTTGTTAGCCAAGATAGTATTACAATACCTGGGAAATGCAAAAGTTATTTTAGGGATCTATTTAAAATTATGACCCTTATTGGATTTATACTTTTTTATGTTGGATTAATTCTACGGTTTACTCATGCAGATGATGAGAATGAATTTGTCGCAGCTAGGTAAGATGGTTTTTCTAATAAATATAATATAGATGAAATATTGTCTTAAATAGATTGTTTTTTGAGAACATGACGATAGTAAAATATCTCTTCTGTACTACTGTTCAAAAAGAAAACAACAAAAGAGAGTTTATATATTGATCATTATGCTGTTTTATAGGACCTTTGATCTTTTTGACTTTACATAATATTTGTTGTTATTTAGAGTATGTGATGTTTGCTTTGAGTTCCCAGATGACAGACGATATTAAGTTTGATATTCTTTGATGAGAATATTAAATCAGAATCATTGTAATCGAAACTTCAGAGATAAGCAAATGAGAAAGCTTTCAATAATCTTCA